TGAAATTGTATAATTATGATATATGTTTGTCATATAATATAAGTACTGTAATTTGGGGTTGTTTTTTTTGAGAGAGTGGAAAATTTTAGAATACAATGAACATATTGCATTAACGTTCTGGTGCTAAACAGGATAAGACTCACATTTTCCATTACAACTTAAAAACTGAAGACAGTATTTTTTTATTAGTATTTTTAAATTAAAGAATCGCCAGTACGTTCGGAGTAATATTGGTTTTGGGAAATATCAGAATTAAGTATTAAAATTGAAACGTATTTGAATTCATAAATAATTCCGGAAAATTAGACTTGTGAGTGCTAAGGATGAGCGAGGATGTAATCTTTTGAAGTACTTTCCCAAACATGATTGTCTAAGATGAAGTGATTTATTTATAAAACTCTTATAAACATTCTAACTAGTGGTATTCATAAGCAGTGGTGGTCCAGTAAAAGTGGACTGTATTATTTTCTGAACGAATGTTCATTTTGTATTCGAAATGTCTACAGTTATGTGATGAGGTGAGAGGAAAGGGTGGTTGAGGTACTTAAATGTTATCCCCTGTGTTTTGTTTTATTTGTGGGTAGTAATATAACCCCCAAAAGAAAATAAATCTGATAAATCACATTTGCCAAAACCAAAATTGCAACGTTTTTGGCAATGAAGGTGATGTCAGAAAGATATTGTAAAACTTTCTGTGCTCTTAGAAACATTTGTGTTGGGTCAGGATTTTGGTCAGGCTGTTGGTATATAGTATTTCTGTATAATTTTTTAGTCAAGATCATAGGAAGTTTTGAATATGATGTTGAGGACTTGAAATTATAAATTGATGATTTTTTTTCATTTTATCTGTTCGTTACTTCCATCAATGTCATTCTACAACAAATAATTCTTTATAGTATTTAAAAAAAACAAGTTTAGTTTTATGAATGTTTATATTACAGTTAATATTTTACTGAAATGTTTAACTAACAGTACCAGTAACTAATAGTACCTGCAAATACACATTTTATGTGATTATAAACTTGTGATGATTATATCAAAAGAACCAATTGATTTATTGAGAAAGTAATATTAAAAATAATCTAAATTGGTGAGATTTATTTTGAATAACATCCTCTTTTGAAGCACGTTCTGTTCAAACTTGAAATTATAGAGAATTTCAATACATTTGAAAACAATTATACAATTTGAAAACTTTCAAAACCAGAGGCAACTGTATCAAAGCTGTTTTCTGGGTTCTGTTCAAGTTCTGTAAAAGTGATCTTCCCAGAACACTTCAAATGAGAGACTATACTGGAATAAAAATGTATATCTGAAATGTTTTACATGTTTACAATATCCTATATCTACTACTTAATATTGAAAATTCTTATCAAAATATTAGGTAAGAACTCGATTCGAAATTATAATGTCGGTGCTCGAGTCTTCCATGCCTGGTTTTCTTATTATTCTGTATTTTGTTGCGTTGTGTTGGGTAATTGTTATTCATATTAAGAAGTGATCAACTCGAAAGTTATCCATGTGCAAAGCGTGTTTTGGTGATGGGGAAGCTTCATTTATTATTGCTATGGTGATTTGAAATGTTTCGAACAAGATATTCATTTTGTGAACAGAGTCATTCATACCCGAATTTTGAAGTTGATTCTAGATGCTTGATTTATAATATTCTGTATGACAATTAACTTCATATCAACCTAAAATCACTTCCAATTTATATTAAAGTTCTTCTTCACCCACTAGAAGGTGAGTACATCTTTTTGGAAATAGTTTCAGTACTTTTGAAAATATCTAAAGAAATGGTTAGCACCAACATAAATATTTCATAGTCTTAATCGCTTGTTTTGTACTTTGCACTACCTACCTTCAGTTTATTATACAAAAAAATCAGCAGATTCTAGGTGGATTAAAAAAAAGGGTTCATATTTGATGTCATATCTATTGGGATCGTTGGAATAATGATCTAGTTTCCTCAGTTGACGAGTTCCAATGTATCACATCTAATATGACTCTTCAATTCTGAACCACAGATAAGTTTGGCAAGAAAAACCAACACCTTTCTCGGAAGGGTATGCTTTTTGCCTTCTGACCTCATTTTAAATATTTTAAGGGTATGAATGACATTCCGTTCCAATCTTGTATACATTTTACTCCTTTTATGAAAAAAAGTTTCTATCCAAATATCCAGTAGCTCAAATTTACCTCCAAAGCGATTTTTTTTAAACATTTATTACTTTCAGTATCTCCAAAATTATTTTTGTTATTATTTGAGGTAGGAGAATATGGGACATACCTCATTTGAGAATTTTTTCATTGCTCCACCGATGGTATCCGGTAAATATGTCCTGATTTTTACAGTGGTTTGCTATTGAACCGCTTAGACCTTTTACGAGGGTTATCATTCTTATATGACACTTGATATTGGATCGGTGATTAAGAGTTCTATACATTTAAAGTTCAAATGGCGAACGTCAGGTATGCCAAGGTGCGGTGCTTCATGACATCCAGGTCCAGAAAATAAATACTGAAAAATGTTCATAAATGTATTTCATCTTCTAAATCAGAGAAAGGGGAAAACTGTGTTAGTAAATTTTTATTATTATTGATATTGATCCTTAGAAAAGGTATCTAAAAGAGGACTGAAGGATACATTTAAGGTATGGTCTTCGAAAAAGCTGTAAGATCAGGCAAGCTATAACATCAAAATTTAGTCAGTAAATCTTCATGTCGTAATCAGTTAAAGGACTTGGAAATATCAAACTCTACAACCTCTTTGTGTTTCACGATTGCATTAATAAATATATGTGTGGCATTGATCTATAAGCGAAGTATTTTGTGGCCTTTTTGAGTATAGACTGAATTCTAATGGTCCTTCGACAAGAAGGAAAACCTTCTATTTCAGTCACACATGATGAAAAACCTACAAAACACTGATCACTTATACCTTCTAATGCTTGAATAAAATATTTCTATATGTTTATATAAACTTTTTTTCATTGTCAGTATAGACATAATTTTCAGTTTATTGACTTGGGTTTTGAATTTAAGTAAAAGAATTACCGGGAGTTCGTAGAAAAAAGGGGGAATTCCATACTCACATTCAGTGGTCTGCACGATTGACCTACAACGCAGTATTTTCGATGAGTTGTGTAAGAGGTCTCGTGTCAGGAATTGGAGAAATACTCTGTATGTTCAAAAAATGAGGTGGATTTTCATTTTTTTTTGCACTTCCTTAAGCCCCCTCAGCGATTCTGTTTTTATCTACTCAATAGTCGCAGGATTCCAAATCTGGTGAATACGGTGGCTGAGGCATGATTACGGTGTTGTTTTTGACCAAAAAATTACGAACAAGCAAACGCCATGAATTGTTTTTCCAAAATACTGGAAGTTTTCTTCGTTTTGCGTAAGCAGCCCATAACTTCAAGATAATACTGATTGACCGTACGATCATGTGGCAAGAACTTGTGATGAACACGTTAATCGAAGAAAACATTGATCGAACTTGGCGTGCTTCTTTTGGTCTTGGCTCTCCTGGGCTCGTCCATTGGGATGATTGGACTTTGGAATTTGAATCCTCATTAGCAATTACACCTCCACGGAAGGTGTTTTAAATTATTTCTGCTAATTATAGAGTTCTTCCGTAGCTGTTGTTGTGTTTCTAATTGGAATTATCATTGGAGTATTTATAGTATTTGCAATTCATAGTTGTCAAAGAAAACTTTTATTTGAAAACATGCGTGCAGTGTTTTTGCAATAAACGTGGCTTCGAAAGTATCTGGAAAGAGGTTTAATCCAATTTTATATCCTGCCCAGATAGAAAAGTGACTTCGGCCTTTGCGAAGGTTTTTGAAGATCTTTGAACAAAATATTCGTTCAGTTTTGAATTCTCTAGCTATGAATGTTAAGCTACCATCGCAGGTGGCGTTATCAAAGCAATTTACTTATTCTAGTTCATTTGGGGTAACCTCGACATATTTTGCTGTTGAATACTTTTTCATTTGGTACTTACTTTTTGGTAGACGCTGTTTCAAACATAAGTATTTAGTACAGTACAGTAAAATTACTCCGAACCCCAGAATACATAAAAATAGCTTGTTTTAAGTCACTACCCTTTATGTTAAACGAAGGCATAATGCTAAATTTAATACATATAATTGGACAAGAAATAAAAGCCTGAAAAATAAACATAAAAATGATAATAGAACATCACATTTTGAATAAAAAATTATCTCTATACAGAGATATGATAGGCAAACTAATTCAGGGTGTTTTATTGGAAAATGTTCATGCGTATTATATGAGGGACAACCCAGATGGTTCTAAATAACCCATATTCACTGGGTCTCAAATTATTCATGACCAAGATACAAGGTAATATCATGATATTAATTTAGAACAATTCTTTATATTTTACAAACCACAGTGTATCTCTGTTCCATAGTCTCCTTATTGATATTGAGATTCTCCTTAATGACCGTACCACCAAGTGGCAAGAACTCCTGATGCACTACGCCACGGTATTCGAGGAAAACAGTGAAGTATACCCCGTCATAAATGATATAACATAAATTCATTAATATTATAATATTTTTTGTCAGTAATGTTTGTCTGAATTTGAAAAAAATTATTATTTGGAGGATTTTGTGAAATAATCAAGAGGGTTGAATACTTTGCTTCCCCAATATGAATGACTCTTTTGATAAAGGCTCGTTCTATGCACATTAGGTTAAGGAAGGTCTTGTCCTATTGAAAACTGTATATTTATGTTTGCACACATATACACAGACGGAGACTGTTTACCACACTTGTAGTACATTTTGAATCACACTTGACCCTTTTTTATATATTTCTGGGTGCATTCGTTTAATTTTACTGTACTCGTTTGAAAGACTTGGAGTCTTGACTTAGTTCAACTGTTTCGAACAGCCTCTTCCTCATCAGCGTAATTTATTGAAAACAACAGGTGAGTTAAGTAAGAGTCTAACATTTTTCTGTTCGTATAGATTTTTCTTTCCATGTCCGCAACTTGTAGAAGAAGGGAATACAATGCGTTGCATGTGGAATCTTTCAACGAATCCTCAGTACATGATGTTGGAATCTAAATATTATTTCACACTCCAAATGAATAATACTTTTGGAACAAACACTATGCATTTCCGGCTCGACCACTTCAAGCATGTTGTTCCGAATCCACCTGAAAATTTGACTGCTGTTGCTACATCGGCCCATTCTATTCATCTTTCCTGGAAAATTTCAATAAACATGGAATCCTTAGAACTTCATCACAGGATATTGTATTTCGACTCTTTCGACAAGATATGGCAAGTGGCTGGAAATATAACTAGCGAAATATCAAAGAAAAACACATTCGAGTTCGATTTAACCAATTTGAAGCATGCACATGCATTGTATGACATCAGGGTTATAATGCGATCTGCGGCTGCAGAAGGCGATGATACCATGTGGTCCCATTATGCATCTGCGACACAACGGACTAAAAGTGACATACCTGATTGTCCACCTCCTACAATGCAGGGCACTTTCGAGCTCATCAACAATAAGTTTTATAGAGATGCCTACGTCTACTGGCAGCAAATCAAAGAAGAACAGGAGAATGGACAAAATTTCAGCTACGAAGTTGTGGTGGAGAACAACCGGACGTTGAGACCCACCGAATTGACCAAAGCTTATGCCAAATTCGAAAACTTGGCAGATTCCAAGTATGAAATTAGTATATGGTCAAGGAACGACCAAGGGCGGTCTGCACAGAAATCCACGATTATTATACCAGAATCACGTAAGTACATCGTCAAACTATTAATTATGTGTGAAAGTTATTTTCCGGTTTTTTTTGACCTTGTTCTGCAGCAGCTATAACGAATCCGGTATATTCCGAGTGTTGCTAAAGATTCTTTGACCTCAGATTCTGATACGTCCGAAATATTGGTTGCGCGTCGTATTTCTCTAAGATTCTCCCAATCCGGTCTGTGTTTGTGATCATCTCGTTTGCTGAGGCAAAAATGATTCACAAAGATTACCTCGTTCATGGAGATCATTACTAACGCCATACAACTCTCATACCAGTGACGGCTCGTGCATTGAAGAACAGGGGAGGCTAAAATCATAAAGACTATATACACACAGAAAAGCCCGCCGGAGGCGCGAACATTTTTATGTTGTTGCACGCTTTGCTTAATAAGGGCTTAAGTTAGGGCATGGGCATGACAATGCATAAAAAGTGCAGGAGAAGCTATGGACTTTATTTTAGTTTGTAAACCATTTAAATGGTCGGCCATGACCGCAGCCCCATCATAGGTTTGCGCAATTAACTTTTGCCTAAAATTATAGGTGTCACACGTATGAATTAAAAAATTAAACAAATCGTCAGCTGTGCGCCCAGATGAAACATCATGAAAACCCATAAAACGTTCTACCACATTAACATCTTTGACATATCTAAAAACGATTGAAAGTTGTGATGTACAGGTAATATAGGTAGCTTCATCAATTTCCCATGCAAAAAAAGAAACACTTTCAATCTCCTTGCTTATATTTTGCACGTTCCAATAACGCTATATAATATTCACTATTGATGGTATTTCCCTTCCCGAAATAGTCGTTGAGAATTAGACCATACACATCCCAAAATACCGCGGCCATAACCTTTCCAGTCGATTGTTCTGCTTTCGGTCGATTTGGAAGAGGTTCACCAGTTGCTCTCCACCCAGATAACGATCGTTTTGATTCCGCAGTGACGTGATAGATCCATGTTTCATCCATTGTCGACGCAAATATTACGGTTTGTTATGTTTAAACATGGCCAAACACTGCTCAGAATCATAAAGACGTTCTTGTTTTTGGTCAACAGTGAGCTAGAGCGACACCCACTTTGAACAGAACTTTCTCATAGTCAAATGGTCATGCAATATAAAGCCAACACGTTCTTTTGATATCTTTATAATGTCATATAGCAGTAATATGAGTGATGCAAAATGGCAGGTTGTGAAGGAAATACATAAGTCGGCGCGTCGAAATTTTCCCCGTCGAATGACAATAATAAAGGGATTTTATGACTTGTGGCAGATGGATCTGATGGAAATGCAACCATATGCTAAAGAAAATAATGGTTATAGGTACATCCTCATAGTAATCAACTGTTACTCAAAGTATGTATGGTCAAGACCGCTGAGAAATAAAACAGCTGATTCAGTTACTGCAGCTATGGCGAGTGTGTTGAAAGATGCGAAGCATGTCCCAAGGAACTTACAATCTGATCACGGTACCGAGTTTTATAATTCAAAATTTTCATCGCTAATGAGAGAGCACCGTATTAATCATTACTCAACATTCAGCACAAAAAAGGCTGCAATTGCGGAAAGAGTCATCAGGACGTTGAAAAGTTGGTTTCATAGACAATTTTCACTTCAAGGCCATTACAGTTGGTTGAATATTCTTCCTAAAATTACCAGTCAATATAACAACAAAGTTCATCGTACCATTGGTATGAAGCTCGCAGACGTAAAACCATCCACAAAAATTACAGTTTATGCAGGATCAAAGAAGCAGCATGGAAAACGTGACAAAGAAGAATTTAAAATTGGAGATATGGTGCGAATCAGTAAGTTTAAAAATGCATTCGCCAAAGGTTATACAGCAAATTTCACTACTGAACTTTTTAAAGTTGTGAAAATTAATAGTACAGAGCCTATAACTTATGAGCTAGAAGATGTGAATGGAGATCCGATAAAAGGTTGCTTTTATAAAATGGAATTGAATAAAGCGAGAGATCCCAATACATATTTGGTTGAGCGAGTTTTGAAAAGGAAAGGACGTCGCCTATTTGTGAAGTGGTTGGGATTCTCTGGAGATCATAACTCTTGGATCGATGAAAGTTCATTAGTTTAATTGAAATATTATTGTAGTGAATGGAAAAATAAAGACAATATGATGAAATTGAATTTTTATTATTGAATATTGAAGCAATTTATTTATTCAACATATAATTTCACATGTATTAAATATTGACATTAGCTGTGATGGGTGGCACTGTAACCAATGGAATATATGTCCGAATAGCGTTACCATATATTTCTCGTCTTTTCACCTGATCTTCACTGTTCAAACATCAACAATCCCGGACGTGAATGTTCTCATCGGGATAGAAATCACCAACATTTTCACATAATATCAATCCACTTCTGCATACGGTACATAAATTGTTCCAACAATCTACTTTATAGTTATCACAACGTAGATAACGTTGAAGTGGTGACTCACAATTAGCTGCACAGTTCACACAAATATTTCTATAAATTCCCATATTGTCACACACGATTCCTATGGAACATTTGCAGCACTGATGGTGGGGAAATACTTCTGGAGTTGAATTATTTGTCGTCTTCGGGACTTTAATTGGACTCAGAACTTTGGTTGGATTTTTCAATACACATCTACGACACAGACTGATACATGGATTAATATATGATTCAGGCCAATAACCTTGACAATTACTACACATTATAACTTGATTGACTTTGATTGGATGACCGCGTACTTTCGGTTTTGAATCCCACTCTTTTGGAAAAGGCATATTAGTATTCACTATTGGATGTCGAAATATTCAACTGATGAATTCAAATGTACTCTCATGAACTTCTCTTCCTATTATAAACACATAGAGTGAAAAGAGGAGGGGTGGTGTAGTGGTGGGGTTACCATCTCCACAAAAAAAAAAACATATAAAAATCGATTCGCAACTCTAAACTCCACTTACTATTCACTAGTGCTAGTAGTACCTTTGACGAAACTTATCGAAAAATAGAAAAATGAACGCTAAAAAATCAATGAAGTTTTGATGAGATTGTCTCTCGAACACGAAAATAATTGGTTTTCTGATGAAGAGGATGAACTTTCCCCCAACAACATTATTGAAGAAGAGGATGAACTTCCCATCGACGTTATTGAAGAAGAGGATGGCATTATCGGGGAAGAGGATGATATCGTCGAAGGAGGGGACGACATAATCGACATCGTAGATGACATCGACCTAGGAGAAGACGGTGTAGCCATGGTAGATGAGGGTATCGATGTAGAAGAAGACGGTGTAGCCATGGTAGATGAGGGTATCGACGATGACCCGGCGACTGACAATGGGAACATCATTATAGGAAGTCGTTGGTTGAATGTAAGTGATACGGTGGAAAATAATTTAGATTTATATTGTGTTACGGATTCCCATGTTCGTATAGGAACCATTGATGATACTATCTACATGTTATGTTGGTGCTGTTTTAGGTTTTATTCCCATCGAAATAATAATGGGGGTGAGTATCAACATATTGATATCCATCACACTATTTCGATGATGAGGATGACGCAAACTTTTTGCGAAGCTTGTGACAGGCCACTGACGAACTTTCGTCGATTGGATGTTTGCATAATTTGTAACCATGTACCCTCACAATGATTTGTTTTAATAAATATTATATATTTTTTATTGTTGTTGTTTTTTTTTGTTTAACACTAAACCTTTTGATGGAAAANACGTCTATTTGTTGAACTACTCTAATGAATAATTTCTTTCATTATTTATATATGGAAACGTCACATTCGAATTGAATGATGCTGAGGGATGGGGCAAGGTTTTTAGCTTCTTTATTATTAATCAAACTCATTAGTTTTACCATACAAAGTTTATTTCTCCTAGATCTTATTTTGCACTAACTCATATTGCAAATAATTACTAACATAGATTGTACTATTTCTATGGTTAATTTCTACATGCTAAATATGGCTAGAACATGACTAGATTAAAGGAATAAATACTGCCCCAACCTCGCAGTATTCTGTGTGCAACAACCAAAGTATATGCACTCCTTTCAATTCCTTGTTTATTTTTTATTTAATTTCATCATGAAAAAAATTACAACCTTAAAATTAACATGCAAAAAATATTTTATAAACAACTTAAATATATCTTAAAATTAACATGCACTACATATATACATATATTTACAAATCCATCGGTAAGCCGGCAATCATGTCCTTCCATCGCCGCACCCGAGGCTCGTACTTCTCAATGTAAGCCACTAGCTCGCCTTCAAGTTGATCTTCTTTGCGAAGATCCGCTTCAATGCGAGACAGCTGCTTATCTAATTCCCGCTTCTGAGCCTGAATGCCTTCACTTTTTGCACTCATGGCTCTGCGGCGTGAATCGCACTCACCTCGACGCTTTCGCTTCTTGTTCAATTCATCCATCACAGATCGCATGTATGAGAAAGAATTAACAACTTTCTGGTCCTCACATGTGCTCTGTGACAGAGGAACTTCCGCAGCGACCTCTCGAGTGGGTGAAGGAATGTTTTCCCCAGGAACGGCTGGTAAGGTTGATCTCCCATCCTGATGTGGTAAAGGAGACGGAGTAGCTTCCCGGTGGACATCTACAAACACTTGCACCTGGTGGACGGGTGCTGCAAGGGAGGATGGTCCAGCTTTTGATATTTTCGAAGAACGGGTTGCTTCCGGCCTAGCTCTAATGGCCGTGTTCCTTTCACACCTTTTTCTGAAGACGCTCAGTTTATCATCCTTCCTCCTGATTGATGGCTTCGACTTCGACTTCGCGGATGGTGGTTTCGTCTTCTTGGAACTCCGCTTTTCAGACTTCACCACCTTGTTGTTGGCCCGTATCCGCTTCTTCGTGTTTTTAAACTCATCTTTGGAGTCGATCTGGGATAACACACCAGGTAGCTGTGCCAACATCACATCTTCCACATCCGGTAGATCCAGAAGATCTGGCAGTGGTTCCTCCAAGTTTGGATTCAACGTCTCCAACAACCCTTCCACACTTTGAGACGTCGGTACCGCCTCGATGGATAGGTCCATCATTAATTCCGCTTCCTGGTCTGGGTTGAAATCACCGAAGAGAAACTTGACGTTGGAAGTCGTCGTCGTCGGAGCCATGGTTGCCATCTGGGTCCTAGGTGGCTGGATCACCACGTCCTGATGGACAACCACCCTCCTGCGCATGGTTTCATCTAGCTGGGCTCCAGTTAGCGGGGTTCCAACCATTAACCCCTTCCTGCGCATGATCTCCCTCTCTTGGGCTTCAGTACGAATGGTTCCATCCATCATATACAGGGTCCTGCAACAGTGGCGCGGTGTTCCATATCTCTATATAGGAAGCAGATAGGAATCTAATTTTCTATAATATTACC